CATACACGCGGGTTTCATTATTAATTTCTTCTCTATTCTTACAAATAGAGTTAAAATAAGAGTTATGAAATTAAAAATAGTAAGAAGTCTGCATCTTGGAGACATAAGCAAGGGACCAGGAGAACGGTAGATTGAGGCATATATTTTTCCTAAAAAATTACCCATTGGGATTAGTAAACAATTACAAGCTTAGAGGAGTTTGTTATCAGGTGAGGGATAGACAACTGGAAAATTCTACTCGGTTCCTGATTTTGCCTTCCTGGCAGCATGTGAAAAAGTTGGGTGAACTACTGAGAAAATGGAAAATAAAAATAATGTATAAAGAGAAAGTAACACTTTCTTCAGTAGTTCCTTCGCTTAGAGAATATTCAGATCTTCTTTCTAGATCAGGTTGGTACAAGGTTTTGTGCTAATGTGGTATGGTATATGTGAGGGAGACCTGCCGACACATTCATAAGAGACTATGCAAACACAAAACCGCTTGTAAAGGTCTGTCTTTCCAAAAGTCTGATTTCTCTGAACAAATGGCGAATACAGGACACTCAATAGATTGGTCCAACTCAAATCGTTTTGCGGGTTACGTGGACTTCACGTCAAAGCGTAAGATTAGGGAGCCTATAGAGATTAACAAAACAACCAGCTTCCTGAATAGAGGGCACGAGTGTAGAAAAGTGAGTCGGATCTATTTGTGGCTGTTGAATAGGCTTAATCAGCTGGAGATAGAGGGAGAGCAGGAAGAGATACTGATCGAAATGGGGCTGGAGTAGTCTAGAGTCTAGCAAGGACTAGCACGCCTCACATAGCATGAACATTATATACACAATAGACAATAGCACAGACCCAAAAATGAATCAACATTAGGGGATCGTACGCTAATTTATTTGTCTAAGGAAACAACTTGCATCGAATGCATTTTCGGTTTATGAATCAACTTTACACATCTGCAAGCATGCAGAGTAAGCTTCAGGTAGCCAACGAAATCATAGAATGCCTTTTTAATATCGCTAGGTTAGGTGCGGGAGTCGAACCGTGACATTAAAGAATATGAGCTTGACATGTTAACCACTCGGCCACATTGCCACGAGTGCCCTTGGTTCACAAGGCAGATGTGAATTATGAAGGAAGGCAAGGTCTTTTCTCATATCACATTCTTTCTTCGACTCCCGCTGGGGGTATTGATAGGACCTAAACAAGTTCGAAACTGCAGTCTACCCTCTATGATATCAACTTTTGGAAAAGCAAGGCTATGTGAAATTAAATGGAAGCATTAGCTCTACTCATATCGTTGTGGGAAAATTATACTACCAGTCCTTCATCATCTTAAACGAAATAGGGTGAATACCTCCCATATTACTGATTCACTGGTAATCTCGAAACTCTACTTACATACGAAAAATAACACTATTAAGTGAGTGTAAATTTTTCCACTTCACATACCAAGCCACGCTTCAGATTTCGGTTGCCATAGTCAAATAGCATATTGACTGAATTGCTTCGGTATCCATTCATAGGCTTAGCCCGTATACTCACCCTTTCGGCTAACCATCCTTTCATAGTCTGTGCTTGCATCTGACGATAGAATTTTATTGCTTCTCCCCTGATTCAAATGCATTGAGAGCCAAATATTATGAACCAGCACTTCTTCAAAATACCACAAACTCTCCTACACTTCAATTAAAGGTCTCTACTTTCTACGAGGTGATTAAAAAGCAAAACTCATAATCTATGAAACCTTCTTATTTTCTCTTCTTCCTGCACAATACGTTATGTCGCTTTGCCAACATAGTTTGCAAGCATTCGTCGCTCTCGCCTGGAGAGGACTGTCGTTCGGCTCCCTAAGGCCCAGTTTACTACTATTATATTCAGATAAATTCCTCCGCTGAGTTTAGGCGACACCTCTCAGTCTTAGAAACTAACGACTTGCTCTATCAATTGCTCTACGAAACAACTGCTTACGCTCCTTCGTTGCTTCTTAGATTCCATGTACAGATGGCGTCAATAACAAATACCTCTTCAGCTTTATTGAGAAATTATCATACATGTACCTTTTTATGTTTTCCTTTATTATTTAGGCAGCTAATCTAGCTTGATTTGGATTAGAATGCTTACGCTCCTTCGATTCCAGTAAAAAGGAGCTAAGCTTTTGTTCGTCATATGACGAAAATCATCATATCAAGGTATCATCGTCACAACCTAATTCAAGCTAACGAGTCAAGAAAACTCGAACCCAAATTTTCTTCGCATAGAATGCTTACTATTTTGTCTTTCAATTTTAGTTTCCATGATATTCCTCCTTCTTCATTGATTTGACTTGTACTGAAGCCTAATATCTACTCATTTGACACAGCTCCTTTAAAACTATTTTATCAGTTACGCCGATTCTATATCTCTTCAAGATTAGGTAACCCGGAACGTGAACGGTTAGACACAATGACTCGAATTGCTTTAGGTTAACCTCTTCATAAACATTTTACTTAATATACTGCCGCTTACAATGCGACAATCTTCATCACGGCTAAGCTCTAGAATTGTTATGTTTTTTTGGAATAGCTACTGAATCCTTAAGTGAATAAGAGCTCGTGGTTGTGTGATTGAATGATAAAGTGCCTCCGCTTTATTCACACCACCAGATTTCAGATCCTACTAGAGTGGCTGATGAAACACAAGCTATGTCAAAGCTGCAGTCTATTCTGGATGCGGATTCCTTTTTGAAAACAAGGCCATGTGCATCTTAATGGCAGCATGAGGTCTACTTATTTTATAGTGGGAAATTTCAACCATGCTTCTTTATCGTATGCGCCGTTAAACGAATATGTTTCTTATACAAGATGTATTCACTTTCTCGAAGCATTATCCTTATGTAACTAACTATCTTCGCCATTAAATTACTCTTACGCAATTTTTCCAGTACATATTCCTATCCATAGCCCACATATTGCCCTATTACGCAATTTAGTTTTTATTGAAACAGAAGCTAAACCATTTCTTATTAAGCGTAATTATTCTGTACTGAGCTATCTTTCTACTGCATTGTTTTTAGATATCATAGCACTTATGAGAAAGCCCAGAGGTTTGCACAAAATGCTCATCCTCCCCCTTGTCTGTCCCTAACCAACTTTCCATCTGTTCGATTCTACATCAATTATAAACTTCCGGAAGATTGAAAGCGGGGTAAAAGACGACTTTATCGTTTAACCTGAGAATGTAATTAGAATATTATTATGAAGACATTTAGTAGATAATAAAGGTAGTTTATACTAAAGGTGTTATACTATCTTTCGCAGAAATATTTTGAATAGGAATTTTATTCCATTTTCTTTTCTGAATGATTTTAAAATTACTTTGCCGGCTTTACGTGTTTTGGATAATTATCTAATGGTGATGCTTTTTCACTCTGAATAAGTGACTCTTAGAATTTCATCCGAATGGGTGAGCAAAATTATTTAAACTTAAAATATGTATAAATATATATATATATATAATATGTAAAATAACTGTTGATTTAGTTATTTTAGATTAAGCAGTCTCATTTGCATTTTAGGGGGCCACTTGCTGGATATTTGCTGGAAGAAAACGAATCTGGTACATCCGCTACTTCTCAAAATTCTGATTTGATTAGTCCAGCTTCGGGTGCGTTATCCATTCAAATGGCGACGACCTCGGGTCCCCGCGATATGGCGATTAGGGCGGGTCAAATGATTATCATCTGTGAGACTTCAGTTGGCTCTGCCCGAGAGCAAAATGCTTTGCATGCAGCCAGTTCGGTCATTGATGATAAGCTATCTCGACCAGGCGACCCCATACTGCTGGAGAAGCAGTTGAAGAATGAGGGCTCACCATTGAGCTTAGATGACTTCATAAATAGAGAACGAGATGTAGCAAAGGAGGGACCAGCACAGATAATGGAATTAAGGAAAATAGTCACTCATGATACTAGGAAATCCGCAGAAGACCTTAGTGTTACTGCAGAGCAAAATAATGTATGTGACAAGAATATGTTTTCGGTGGAATGCAGAGGAACTTCTTGGGGAAAAGAAGGAAAAGATACGCTCAAACCTGCGATACACCTCATTAACTCATCTGAGATTAAAGCCGAGTACGAAAAGGAAGGTGGTTTTCGAAACTCGCCCGTATCCCCACTCTCGGCCGATGCCACTAATAAAACTGACAAACGTCTTGGATTCGGTGGCCCATGCGACTTGAAAAAGGCAGAAGAGGCCTGGGATCTGACATTGGAGACATGCAGGAGGCTGGCAGCTCGAACCAGAGGACCGACTCTGGCGGGCAAAAGCAAGGTTCCTCTTCATCGACCTCAATCACCATCGTTCTATGCTCAGACTCAATTGTCTGCTACCGAGCGTAAACGTGTCTGTGGTAATTCACCTGAGCCCCAACGATTAGTACACACTACTGACGATCTTGACTGGCTTGTTGCTGCCAACAGACCTGAATCTCGTTCTACCGCCCCGCTTGAGCGGATTCTAGCTGAAATGCCTGAGCAAGAACTTGAACAGGAGATTGGATCTCCTCTAGGCCGACTTCGAGCCAAACCACAGCTAAAAGGAGCCTGTGCTACAGTCGAAAATGGAACGCCGAGGGCCGCCTCGTTAGTAGGCTCTGATGAGCTACTTGGTCTGCCCAGTTTTGACATAGCCAGTCCAACGGATTTTGCTGGCGGCGATTCGACGACCACAAATCTGCTATCTTGTGAACTTGCTGTACATGAAGAGGCCGCTATTGCAGAAGAGAGGGAAGAAGATGAGATACTTGGGTCAGATGAAATTCTGCTGCCGATTTCCGGCAGAACTAGGGCTATTGAATCTTGCTATAGCAGCTTTTCGCGACGAAAAACAGCGTGTTTAGCAACAAGTAATGGTCTTCTCCCTATGATCACACCACGATCCTCTTCGTCTTCCATCTCTGACACGAAGGCTGAATCCAACTTGGCTGCTGCAGTTGCCGAACCTGAGGCGGATACCTCGGAGTGGGAGGGTAATTCAGACGATTTAGGACCTGCTGGCACCCGGCCTCAAATACTTAATGGCACCTATTCTCGAATCACGCCCGGGACTGAAAGTGATAAACTCACCAGTAGATGCCGACGCGACGACTCACCAGACACCAGCAGCCTCGAACAAGATAGCGCACTGTCCTCATCCTCGGCTGCTGCGGTTGGAGTTTACTCCGTTCACGCTGACAGGTTGATGGGGATAACACCATCTGACCAAGAAGCCAGCAGACCAGATTTTCGGCAAGAAGCCATGTCGAAGTCCAATAACAACTCGTCTTCATTAAAGTCCGCAAGCAAACCTGCAACTTTTCATGGCCCTTATCCATCCTCAGGCTCTCCAGAGAAACCAGGCCGAACGACTGGCTGCATTATTTCTCTTATTTCTACCAACAACAGCCGGCTAAATGACAATGTCTCCATGGTCGAAACTCGGGCAAATATATCCCCAAAAGATTCAGTAAATGACCATGCTCCGATCGCTTTCTCGTCAGCGCAATCTTTACAAATCCAACCTCATTCTTTAAACTCCCCAAGGGTGTCAGATAATTCAGAATGCAGCCAAAGCAACCCTGACACTGAGCTTAGCTGTGTTGACGAAGGTCTAATGCCACCTGGTCGACCAACTCTTGTTGAATTAGAACAAGGCTGCGCTACAATTGGTCGCCAACTGGAGCTGACTGGCGACCGGCTGGCCTGGTGCTCTGCCGAACTGGAAGCTGTGCAGGCGATTGCAAGCGGACCATGCTCACCTCCTTCCCAATCCAGTCACTCGTCCTTTACAATGACGCCACTTGCCCAGGTAAAAAGTCGGCCATGAGCTGATATTGGATGCTAAAATGTACTAGATCAAAGCGTCTTTGTTACCATTAAGCACGCTTCTTTCCATCAAATATTTCCTGTCTATTCCGATATTTTTCTTTATCTATACTCTCATACTGCCAACTTAGTTTCCGTAACTGGGTACTTTTGTCTAATATTTTAATAACTACCATTTAATACCTCTTTTTTGTATTTATATTCTTTGAACTCGAATCCTTCAGGAATTAGAATAGTTAAATACACTCGACAGCTCTTTTTTCATAATGATTATATTTAGAGGACATCATGTCGTGCGTTTTACAATGGCTTGGCAGTTTAAAACTCCTGTTCAGCCTAAGAGAATATCTGCTGTTGTTTATCAGATATGAATAAAGTCAACATATAAGAAAACGCCTTTATTTACACCTTACAGTCAAATTTACTATCCAAATTTCAACTATCAGACCTTGAAGTCCTAAAAGTAGCAATGACATCCTACTGCTCAAATATGGAGACTCTGGCAACTCAGGAAATTGATATCTATACTATTACCACTATACATTATTACTATATTATTATTATTATATACCACTATCTACTGATATTATTTTTGATTTTGATTTTTTCACATAATAGTTTTCGGCTTATTTAAATATATGGGCAAGTGACATGATATTTATGTAAGGCAAAAATAATGAAAACACGAAGAACTTATCCAGTTCGTATATTTTTTGTTTATGCTACTGTGCTTTTTTTAAGTTTTGATTTCAAGGCTCTTTTAAAAAGGAAAATGAAGATAGTGTGGCCTTTTGTTTAGTCACAGTCTCCTTTATCTATATAATGTTATATTTCTTGTTTTTTTATTTTTTCACAGCCCAAGCAATCATATGATTCATTTACTTTCGCCCTAATGTCATCAGCTCTTAAAAATCCAGTCGAGGAGCCCTGCGGACCAGCCTCCAAGTTAAGGGCTCAGCGATTGCTTTCTGGTTTATATGAGGTTGATGCATTACTTTGTCAGATACAGACAGAGCTTGATTCGATGACTGGTTTTTCTAGTCTTCTCTTAATGGACCGGACCAGGCATATATCTCGGCAAAGAGAGGGAACAGTGGATGGCCTAAAATACGAACACGGAGAGGAGGCGGAAGATGAAGAGCATGAGGAGGATGAAGGGGAAAAAGGGTTTGATGAAAATGTGGCTTGGAATAAGAGGGATACACGTATGCATACATTTTAAATAAAGTTCATCTCTTCTGTTTTATTTAGCCTATGTACATCCTAAATAATTTATTTAATTATTAGGCTAGAGTCAAGTGTTCTCCTAAAGTGCCTATGGGATACGATAT